CTTTTTTTTCCCTTCCAATATTGGAATTATATTATAGAAGAGCTTCACAGTTTTTCTTCAACTGCAATTCAGAAAGAGGAAAGTGTTTAAGCTAATAGAGCTGTGTTTTGAAAGTGGTCACCATTCTGCTTCTCTTAAATATTCAGCAAATTAAGTTTTTGAAGCACTATGCTTAGTCTAATGCAAAAAAATATAAAAAAAAAAAAAAAAAAAAAAAAAAAAAAAGGAAAATCTCTCAAAAAGAGACAATTTTATTCATATTGACTATGGGAAGAAACAACTCCTCTTTGTACATAGAAGTTACTGAAATAAAACAAATAGTTGCAAAGCAGAAAGTCAGAAAGTTCCTTGGGAGTGAATGTGATTCGGTTCCAGCATCAATGAGAAATTCAAGAACTTGTGGCTTTCTTCTTCTGCCAAATGTTGCAGGGATGATCTCTGAATGTTTAAATACTTTAGAATTATTTAAATTTACACATCAGAAACATTTATTAATTAATAACCAATTAATTAATTCAAATCAGGCACACTAATATATCTCAATTACCTTGATTAATCACATTTAATTCTTCAGGGACTCAGGGCTACACCCACAGCATACGCCCAAAGGATTTTCAGTATTGTACATACATGAACATATAAATAACATTACAGACATCAACCACAGTCTAGAAATTCAAAGTTCAGAATTTACAGAATTTACAAATTCTTGCATTAGTACACAGGGATGATGATCACAATCCTCTCCAAATCAGGTGGTAGCAACTCAGCTACTCCGCACTACTCCTAGAGTTGCCTGGGAGGGTTTAACATTTATAAAACAATAGAATGTGAGCAAAAGGTCAAGTATGATATATTTTTGAAATAACTTTATAAACGAATAAATAAATAATCAATGAAATAAATAGAGACATTCAGTTCCAACACAACAGCCGGAACATCACATCCCTTTTCTCAAAGGAAATATAACTGAAAATCTCCGTATTACAAGCATCAGCAAGTAATTTATACTATGATAAATTACTTACACAACCACATGCACAAGCCTATCACCCCCGGGCCGGGTTTCAGGTTCTGCCCCCAAGGATGCACTCTCCATATCCTATCTAGGCCATCAGCCGATTTACAGATTCGCACTCTTGTCTTAAGAATTCATTCATTAAACTTTATGAAACAGTTCATTATAATTCCAATAGCTAAACTTAAGCTATGGTTTTGAACATGCTTTTCTTTCGAAAACATGCCATTTCTTTAAAACATTTACAAGGCCAAAACTCTTTTAAAAACAGGCTATCAAAGAAAGGGATAAGGAATCTTACCTCTCAAGTACCAAACCTGGCTAGCGGTGCACTATTCCGCCTTTTGCTTCCTCAAAGCCCCTCAATCTAAGTCCTCAGCTAACACTGATACAAGACAACACTTTAGGATCCAATTCTCATTCCTAAAGTAATTCAATCTCAATTATATCCTTTGATTTCCTATTAGTGTGCCATAATTCATTTACTGGTTTCGTAAACCATTTCATGTTTCAAATCTTCATTCCAAGGGTTTTGATTCCAAAACATGGATTAAAGATGCTAATCCATTCACTCTAGATCCCCAAATGAAGCTGATTTGGGTTCTCCTCGAAAACTGAGGTCAAAACAAGGTCAAACCCAGTGTACACCGGTCGACCGGTGACAGAGCAGTTTAACACCACCGGTCGATCGGTGGTGTGCAATTCGGTCGACCGCATGGGTCAACCGGTGGAATCAGTGCAGTCTGGTCGACCGGTCCGGTCGACCGCACAGGCCGACCTATGAAGAGCAGTAGGGCGAGGAAACTCACCAAAATCAGTCCGAAAACCTGTGATTTCAATTCCAATTCAAAATATCTCAAAGGAAAACCAATAAATCAAGGTTCTAAGTACTTAATCAAGTCCAAAGAATCCAAGATCTCTAATTTCTACCATATTTTTACTCAAAATCCATCATAATCTATTTTGAACTAAAAACAAGTTTTTAAATCTGAAAAACTTGAGATTCAAGAAAGGTTTTTTAGAAATCTTACCTCGAATCCTTCTCTTGACGTTGAAAACTTCTTTAAATTTCTCCTTGGTTCAAAATCCGGATGATTTGAAGCAAAATCAAAGAGAGGGGGAAAGTGAGGGAACGAGAGAGAGTGAGAGAGAGGGAGAGTGTGAAGAACGACAAAGAAGAGAGAGAGAGTGCACGGGAAAAAGGAAGTAAAAAGGAAAAAGAAAAGGAAAAGAAAAAGAAAAAGGACAAGTGTCACAAAATATTTAAAAGACAATTCAGAAAATGTGCCCACACACACTTCTGGATAAAATATAATTACTGAGAATATTTAAATACCTTAGAATTATTTAAATTTACACTTCAGAAACATTTAATATCCAATAATTAATTAATTAAACCAGATTAGGCACACTAATAAATCTCAATTACCTTAATTAATCTCATTTAATTCTTCGGGGTGTTACATCTCAGCTATTCAGCACTGCTCCTAGCGTCGCCTAGAAGGAGTTTAATATTTATAAAAGCAAATAAAACATAAGCGAAAAGCCCAGTAGGATGTATTTTAAAATAACTTTACAAATAAATAAATAGGTAAATAAATAAATGAATAAGTAAATAAAGATATTCAGTTCCAACACAACAGCCGGAACCTCACATCTTTTTTCTGAAAGGAAATATAAACTGAAAACTCCATATTACAGGCATCAGCAAGTAATTTATCCTCTGATAAATTACTTACACAACTACAAGCACAAGCCTTATCACCACCGTAGTGGCCCAGTCCGGGTTTCGGGTCCTACCCGCAAAGATATTCTCTCCATATCTTATCTAGGCCATCAGCAGGTTTACCGGTTCGTAAGATCTCTTATCTTAAGAAATTGTCCATTAAAAACTCTGAAATAGTTCATTATAATTCCAATAGCTAAAATCAAGCTATTGTGTTAAAATACTTTTCTTTTGCAATCATGTCATTTCTTTAAAACATTTGCAAGGCCAAAACACTATTAAAAACAGGCTATTGAAGGAAAGGATAGGAAATCCTACCTCTCAAGTACCAAACATGTGGCTAGCGTTGCACTATTCTGGCTTTTGCTTCCTCAAAGCATTCAATTCGACTCCTCAGCTAGCATTGATACAAAAAAACACTTTAGGATCCAATTCTCATTCCTAAAGCAATTCAATCTCACTTGTACACCTCGATTTTCCATTAGTGCGCCGTAATCCAATTCTAAGTTTCATAAGTCATTTTATATTTGAAACCATCATTCCAAGGGTTTTGATTCCAAAACATTGATTAAAGATGTTAATCCCTCTATTTTAGGTCCCCAAATAAAGCTAATTTAGATTCTATTCGAAAATCAAGATCAAAACAATATTCTTGGACAAAATAGGGTCAAACCCCGTGTACACCAGTCGACTAGTGACAGAGAGGTTATTCTCCACCGGTCGACCGGTTCCAGTCGGCCGGTGGAGAAGGAACCGGTTGACCGGTCCGGTCGACCGGTGGGAGCAATGCAGGATGGCCGACATGGCCGATTCGAAGAAAATCAAAACCAATTTCTCCTGCAGTACTCCGACGTCGCTGTCGATGGCCATTCCGGCGGAGCTCGCCGGCGCCATCCCTTTGATCGAGCGATTTCAGGTTGAGGCATTTCTAAGACTAATGCACAAACAGATTCAGTCTTCGCCAAACACGGCTTCTTCTCCAAAAAATTCGCCGGACCTCAAATCGGTGACAAGTTCACCTTTGAGGTATGTTGTGCTTCCAGAAGGTCCTTTCCATTTTGCAAGATTTTGGCGCATTTTCTGTTTCTTAATGAATCATATTTCATAACACTAACAGGTGCCTATTCCAACATCGTTACTCAAAATTAACGCTGACCTGGTCAGCAAGGCCACAAAGTTGTTCCATATCATACTCAAGTATATGGGAGTCGATCATCCCTCTGAACGGCTCGCTCCAGCAAGCCTCGATGAACGAATCGAGCTCGTTGGAAAACTCTATAAGCAAACGTTAAAGCGAATAGACCTTCGGGATGAACTGTTTGTTCAGATTTCAAAGCAAACTAGGAATAATCCTGACAGGTAAATGCCTAGCCTATGCATAATGTCCTCTTTTCGTGCGTTATAACTTTTGCCGTAAATACTGTTGATGGAAAAACAAACGTTCAGAAGGTGCGTGATGATCTTGGCCTAATTAAGTATGAGTTTAGGAACTTGAATTGAAGAGAGAATTTAAACTCAGATTTTAACCCCAAATTCAAGTTAAAACTCAAGTTTGTACTCTTGTTGATGGGAAAACAAACATTCAGAAGGTGCGTGATGATCTTGTCCTAATTAAGTATGAGTTTAGGAACTTGAGTTGAAGAGAGAATTTAAACTCAGATTTTAACCCTAAATTCAAGTTAAAACTCAAGTTTGTACAGTTGTCGTATGTGCAAGTATGTAGTTCTGGCTGAAGAATTTTTTGTTACTTCTACACGTTTTTTAACACACAATGTATGAATTATTACTAATGATGCTTTTAATCAGTGAACCAAGTGTTTCTTGTATTTTCTTATACCCTCCGACCTCTAAGTTTTGATATGCCTGGCTATATTGTCACAGTTACAACATGATTATGTATTGGGCAATTATCCTGTTGGAAGGGATGATGCCGCACTGCAATGTATTTCAATTTAAAACCAAGCAGGTTCAAACTTCTTTCTAACTTTACACTGCTTTTCTTTTTTTACAAGTTGTCAAGCTTCGCCACTCTGTATAGTTTTATGGTTTTATGGAAGTTCTGATTTTTCTGCACCATGTAGGGGGAAGAAATTTGTGTTGCTCTTCAAACACATATAAATGATGTCATGTTACGGCATTACTCTAAAGCTCAGTCTGCTGCCAGTGGCTCAGTAAACGGAGACTTTTCTAACATTTTTAAATCATCAAATGTGGAAGCATTTGAAAAACGTGTTCAGGATTTGTCAAAAGCTGTTGAAGAATCTCAGAGGGATGCTGATCAAGTATGCTTTGAACGAAACATAAGTATTGATTGTTTAAGCTGGTTGCTGAGTGACGCCATAGTAAAAAATCCATATCATCCATGAACCTACCTACACAATAAATATCTAGCGCCCCCCCCAAAAAAAAAAAAGACGGAAGACAATCTGATATAACATGTCTACAATGGGGTGAGAAAATCTCGAGGAAAATAAGCAAATAATGTCAAAAATACTAAACCAAACTGGGAAGGTCTAAGCGAAAAAGCAGAGGAGGATTTAATCTGAATGATGAAATTGCAGTTTCCCTGAGAAATATTCTGTGTGGTCAACATGGCCATACCCTGAAAGTTGCAAGCCATGTCATCTTGATTCTGTACCTGAAAGTACATGTTGAAGGCATAAGAGGCGTTCCCGTTTGAATCCAAATTGTTGCAAGAAGAACCATATCCGAGCGCCGTGCAATCGGAGAATGTGCAAGCATAGTCTATGTTGTCCGCGAGCTTGCTCAAATCCTTGGCATTGGGGTTGAACATGCACCATTTGTTGGGAAGATATTCTACATTCTTGGCAGGCACAAGTAGCTTGTTCTGACCCTGACCAGAAAGATCAACTGGGAACTTGGGCTGGCCGTCGTACCTAAAAATCCCCCAGTGGCGCTCGAAATTCCCCGGCGCAACGCTCTTGGCATCCTCATCAATAAGTCCAAACAAGTAGACTTCTATGTATCCGGGTCGCAATGGGGTGCCCCTATTGGATGCAAGTCTTGGCAAAAGTCCATTGTAGAATCTGTAAGCATAACCCGTATTGGCATTCTTGTCCCCATCCGTTGGCCAACCCACCTCACCAACCAAAATGGTCATGTCGCCGTATCCTGCAGCTCTCAAGGCGGCCACAAGGGTGTCAAAGTTGGCATCAAACACATTGGTGTACTGGATTCCAGTAGATGGATCGAGAATGGTATTGCTCACGCCATCAAAAAAGGCGTAGTCAAATGGGAAGTGGTCATTTCCATAAAGACTTAAGAAAGGGTATATGTTTACGGTGAAAGGTGCCTTGTTTTCGTTTAGGAACTGGACAATCTGAGTCATCAGTTGGTTGATATCAGTGCGGAATCTTCCAGCAGATGGGAAGGGGTTGCTTTCTGGTGAGTTGTAGACGTCGGCGTTTAAGGGCACAGTAGCCTTTATAGAGTCTCCAACACCAGCTTCATTAAGGGCCCTTTGAATGTTTTGAAGCGCCGGGAAGGTGACGTTTAGAAATGAGCCATTGTAGGATGAGAGGAAAGGTTCATTACCGACGGCTACGTACCTGGGCAGAGAAGAGAACGAAAGAAGATGGCATAGAATCAACGGACAGCTTAATTGCTTAAAAGCTACACATTGCTTTTTTCAACTCAACAGAGCCACGAAAACTAAATAGATAAACACGTACATCAAAGCAAACAAATAGCTGAGGCAAAAGCAAAATTATTTAAAAAAAAAATAAAAAAAAGAGGCAATTTTCTGAACCGGATCGCTTCAAGTTGAGACCAAAATGATTGCTAAAATACTAGCCACTTTTATGCCTTTATTATTCCTTACGAAAAATACACACATAAAATCACAAGGTTCTATGAAGTTATATGATTGATAGGTTGAAGGTAAAGGTATCGAATTGATATATCTCCAGGAAGACTTCCAGTTCCAATTACTAAAACATGAAAGAGAAGCAGGCCTCCGACTCCTAGGAATTAGGAGAATATAACTTTTAAGGTAATAAAGTAACATACATGATATGCAAAATACATACATATATATGATCTCTTTACAAGTTTGTGCTAATCTTATATCTAACATAACACAACTGACATAAACAAATATTATGGTTAACTTCTTCAACACACTCGTCTTAGATATTTGCTCCAACACAATCTTTGTAAAGAAACAAACAAGCAAAAAGGACATTGATACTAATGATTTGTGCAAAGTAAAGACGAAAACAAGAAGAACATTGATATTAAAAGTTGGAAACAAAGTTGCTAAGAATCCAATGCAAATGCTCAAAATCAAAGAGATTGCAAAAGGAGAAGATTTCAGTAAAAGAAAGAGAAAAAATAGAAATAATTTAATTACTTGATGTTAACACCGCCGCTGAAGTTGTAACGAGTGACGTTGCGCTTGACCCAATCCTGGGCGCGCTTGAAGGAGTTCATGGCGGAGAGCTGGTCATTGGGAATGGCGACAAAGACCTCGATTCCGGAGCCAGCGAGTGCGCTCATGGTCGAGTCATCCGTGTCGAACAGTTTCACTTTCTGAATCCCATTGTCCTTGAGCATCTGCACAACCGTCTTCGGCGGAAGCTTGTGCGTCGCCTGCGTTCCCCAATTCACTCCAAGTCCTTCCACATCCTTCCACGAGAATGATATCCACACCAACAAGATCCATGGCAACAAGATTACTTTTTCCCCCCAAGAACTCAAGCCGAAGCCCATCTTCTTCTACTTCTTCTTCTTCTTCTTCTTCTTCTTCGAAACAAACTAACTGAATGAAACGGTTGCTTTTTTCGAGAAAAAAAAAGGTGGATTCTCTTCCTTCCTCCCACGATCGGCGAGAATCCAGCGATTTTCTTTTCTTTTTTTTATTTTTGAAATCGTCACAGAAAGGAGAGGAAAGTCGGAAACTGACGAATAATAAGAATAAGAATAAAAACGAAAGAAAGAAAGCGTTTTTACTTTTTCAATTGTCTTGCCTATAAATGAAAAAAAGATAGAAAAAGGAAAGCGAAGGAAATTAGCCAAAGAGAAGCAATAAATTGAAGGTGAAGAAACAGGAGTGAGCGTTCAAAACAAAAATGATATAAGAAAGAAGGATTAAGAACCACTTGAATAAAGTTTTGCACCGACCAAGGGAAAATCAGACAAAAGCTTCGAAATAGACGTTACTATTATAATTTATTATTATTTATTCTACTTCTAAAGTTAATATCCTTATTTGAGCATCACCCTCACCCACACCCACAAACAAATTACAAACACACCAATACCAAAACCAGAAGAAAAACTGAAAGAAAAGTGATCAGACGACGAAAAATTAGGAAAGGAAACCAGGGGATTTCCTTTTTAATATTCCTTGTAAAGTTTTCAACAAAAGAAAAACAGAACAAACCAATTGCCAATTCTGAAAACAGAGAGAAGCACTGTTTCTATTTGTTTGTTTATTTATTATATTTATTGAAAACAGAGAGAGAGAGAGAGAGAGAGAGAGAGAGAGAGCGAGCGAGCGAGAGAGGAAAACCGCAGAAAATGACAAACGAAAAAAATCCAAAAGACAAAAAGAGAAATAGTTTGAAACTCGTTTCCCTGCCAATGCCAAATGCCCAAATGCCAAGGATTTTCCGAGAGACGCTCCAACGGCTAGATTTTCACCAACCAACTCCAACAAATAGTTTCTTGTTAGGCTAATTACGACTTCTTTTCAGGGTTTAAAGTATAAACCCCTGAAAAATTTCAAAAAAAATAAAAATAAAAAACAGAAGCCTTTGGAGTTTGGAATAATAATAACTTATCTCAGTCTTTAGTAATATCTAAGCAGTAGTAGGTGAATCTATGGGCACGGAATTATTAGTTTCCCAAAAATAAAAATATGCAGAGTTTAAAAAAAAATATTAATCCAAAAAAAGAAAATTTAAATATATTACTTGGAAGAAAGCACAAGGAAAGTGCCAAGGCAGAGAGAGACTGGTGTAAAACGCGTCTCTCTCTCTCAATATTACTTGGAAAGTTTCTGCATACTCGAACGCACTTTTTCTTTTGTTTGTTTTTGTTCTTTTTTTTTAACGTGAATTTTTTACCACCGAACGCAAATAAAAATAAAAAACGTCGAGGCTTTTCTAATTTTCGGAGAAAAAAGAAAAATAAGAAGGGGGAACGACAAATGATGGAATGAGGGATGACGTGGCCCACTAAGGTGTGCATAAAGCTGAGACATCCCACGTTGTTCCCAACGACAGATCAGTAACAGCCCAACCTTAACAGCGGAGGGCATTATCGTCGTTTAAGAGACAGATCGGAGGAGAGCCGTAGGATTAGTACACCTTTTTCTATTACTATTTTTGTGGAGATTGAGACCTGATCCTATGATGGGTTCTTGAGCTGTGTACACGCCTTGTCTTCAGCCAAGTTGCTTGCTTCTCATCCGTTAATAAATGTCAATGCCTTGCCTTTACTTCTTTTTAAAGTGAACGAGAAATGACCCCAAAAAAAAAAAAAATATATATATATATATATATATGTGCCTTGACTGAAAAATCTTTCTTCATCTTATCATTCATGAAAGTTTTTACGGCATCCAAACGAGTCTTTTCAGAGGGAGCGCCGAATATGGCTTCTAGAGACTCCATTATCTCATAAGCAGTCTCCATCTCCTCATGCTTCTTGCGAAGCACATCGCTCATACTTGCCAGCATAAAGCACTTTGCTTTATTGTTGGCCTTGATCCAGCGATCATAAAGCTCTCTTGCGGTTTTGGATGCGTTTGCCACGGGTTCAGGAGGACATTCCTCTGCTAGGACAAATTTGTAGTCTTCACAGACTAATAGTATGTTCATGTTACTTTTCCACTTAGCATAGTTATCACCGTCTAATTTTTCAGTCACTAGTAGTGTGATAATGGGATTCGACATATTGCTGAAAATAAATAGAATATTCATCTAATCAATTTATGTGCATGAATATCAAGGCATGTTAATTTTGGCACAATTAAATATGATGCATGATGCACATAAAAAATACATAAATCATGTTTTAATTTTAGATGCCTACGATAATTCAATTTACCACGAATATAGTGCCGCCGTAGGGTAGGTCAAAATATCGTAAATTGGACCGAGACCTTCTCAATTAATAAACATAATCAAAATATCTCATATTTTCATATTTATCAACTACCGTTATTTTGGTCAAAAATATAATCAACAATTTGATTATATTTCCATGAGTGTAACCCATCATTTCAGATTCTACAGACTTAACTCCGGAGTGCCGCCGTAGGGTAGGTCAAACCGGAAATACATCCTTGAATCCTATCGCTAGGAAGTCAACCTTGTTATTGATCCGAAAGAACACTTTCCGTAGGGAGTGCGGAATCGGTACCGCCGTGAAGCCCCTTTCGAATCTCACGGTGTTCAACTAATGATGGAGACCAGTGGGTTGTATTGTCATATAACCCTCTCCCACTCATTATTTTGCAAATATGTATTTTGTTTGAAAAACATCTCATGATTTTCAAATCGAAAAATAAACAATTTATTTTTCGGATATGTGAAATTCTAAAATTTAACTCTTAAATTCAATTTCACATGTAACATTATTTTGCAAATTAATTTTGCAACTTAAATCAATTTAATCATATTAAATCGATTTTCAGCGCATGGTTCTCATTTTATTTTATTTTTCTAAAACACTTTTATAATAAATAAAATAAACAATAACGAATGCGCGTGTATGCATGACATGTTATAAAACATATGAGTAGGCACATTATATCTATATGGCATGTTATGTGCATGGACATATAATATATAATTATCAACATAAAATATAATTATATGCAATCAACTATTGAGATGGATTTGACCGGGTCCCATGGAAAAATAAATTACAACTCAATCGAATCGAATAAACAAATAATTACAATAATTATATTCTTCCGTTACATCAACGAGTCTTCGATTCTTGAATTCTTTATTCTTCGGCTTCATTCTTTGTCTCCAGGTTGGATTTCACCTTCCTCGGGATCCGGAACTTTTCCGGGCCCGTCGGCACGCATTACGAGGGTTTCAAAAACCTTTGGGCCCGTTCAGAATCAAATCCCGAACTTGGGCCGCCAGTTG